TTTTTTGTACTCGATTAATAAACATCAACACCGATTAAAAAAAAAACCTCGAACAGTGTAGATTCACACTGTGAATCTAAACTATAAATATTTCAATTTTTAACATTCACAATATGAAAAATCTCGAACAGTTCAGATTCACATTGTGAATCTGAATTATTATTATGCACACTGTGAATCTGAGAAGGTTCCTTGGTTCCTTGGTTAATTATGGTTCTCTATTGAACCTCACCCTATATATATATATATATAGATATATATATATATATATATATATATATATATATATATATATATATCTTACTATATTATTATACAAACCTTACTATTTCTAAAAATAGATTTAAGACGTACAAAATATTAAATACAATGTACAATATCTGATGCATTAAATTTCTTATCCGTATAAGACCCCCTTAATTCTTGCGTATTATTTCCCCATCTGTTCTTATCTTATTTGACTTGGCCTTTATTTTTCATTCGAATTCCCTTAAAACTCGGTCAAAGACGTTTGGAGTCTGTAGACGGGTTTCTTTAATTCCGCCCGCTAATAACCTAAAAATACCTATTTGAAGATTTCATTGAGATTCCTTTTCGATTGACTTTTTCTCACTCAATGCGAACCCTAGCGTGGATGATGGCGAAGAACTTTCTCGGATGGCCACTATTCGCAAGGTAAGAACGCCTCTAATGGATATATCATAAAGCTTAGGAACGATGGTTTTATTTTATAGGGTTTCTAATCTATGCTTTTTCATTGTTCATACCTTCACCTTCGCGTGGCATCGCCCCCGAATGTCATCTCATGTGCGTACATTGCAGGTAATCGTCTAATTCCCCTTGTCAGCTTCTCATATGCCTATTTCCGCCTGTCAGCTTCTCCTATACCTCTGTATCTGAATCCTCACATATGTTAATCTTGATATTTTTTTTGGTTACAGGTTCTTTGAATGTTTTTATTTCATTGCACATGTAGTTCTGCAAATGAGGGTTTTTTTGTTGGTAGAAAAAAGGTTTAAACTAGATCCGAAAGCTCTTCAGGTATAACATTTTGGGTTATACAAACTTTAAATGGGATATGTATGTTTTTACTGTTTTTCCAGCTTGTTGTTTTTTAAATTCAGAGTTTGATTCGATTTTCCTCATGATTTAACAAATCATTCTTTTTGGGTGATGGATGTTTAGGTCGTTGAAGATCTAGAAATCGAAAAGCATTGCAAAATTTTATCTTCAATGGTTTTCAAAGCTTTTACATTTAGTAAAAAAAACACTAGGGGCTTGGTTGTAAGTAGAGACATGCTTTCATTATAAATCTGTTTCTTTTTGTTTGCATCTCCAGATTGATCAAAGAGTGGACGAGTATTCAATGAATGCAATGGAAAGAGGATAAATTTAGGTAAGCTTCTTATTTATAGAGGATTATATATTGGTTTTTTCCTTTCATAAATGCACCATCTTAGCCTCCACCACCACCTGTCACATGCATCATTTGTTCCATGTTGCCTTCATTTGTTCTAGATCAATTCAAGGTATCAATATGGTTTAATTTTGTTATATTTTTTGTTTGATTTTTTTGAAAATCGTTGAGTGTTCCAAAATTTTGCAGATCGTTTGATTCATTCGGAACATGGCCAATGAAAGGTTTTGGGTTGCCCTAAACTCCACAGTCTGCCACTCTGCCCCCTTTTCAAGGAGTCTGCATTACCATCTTATGGTTATTCCCACTTGATCCTCTCTTTCACTTTTAAAGCTTGATAAATCAACGCCCTCCTACACCAATCTCCTCTATTACCCACCGTCCTTATAGTGTTCTAGCCAATTCAGTCTTGAATCTCAATCGGGATCAATCTCCTTTATTTACGTTGTGATAAGCATTTTCAATTCTTTGTTGTTTTTTAATTTTCATAATAAAATATCATATTTTTGCATTAATTTATATAACATTATGTTTTGTATTTATATGAATATTGTTAAACCATGGGATGTGGAAACTTCTCTGCAAGAGATTGATTTACGTAAGGTGGAGACTCACAATAAAAGGGTAAAATGGTAATTTACTCACATTAATTCAATTCCTTCGGTTCATAATAATACACATAGACTAAAGTGTAAAATGGTAATCTGCTCTCATTCAAATACTCATTCAGTAATCACTGGATGAAATGTCATGATGGTTGCTTTTATTATTTTTTTTTTGGAAATTATGGGAAAGGAATATGGGTGAAAGATTTGATCTTGAATAACACGTGATTGAAGAACTTGAGGGTAATACTACTTACTGATATCTTTACTTATAACTATTTATTTTCCTTTTGCTTGTAACAGGTGTTTATTTGTCTGAAATCAAGGCTCTAGCAAGAAATAAAGAAGTTGGCCTAGGTAGGAAATGATGAATTTACTTTCTGTTGCTTTTGTTGTTTCTGGTGGGATGGACATAAAAAGAACAGCAATAGGAGGTTGATATAGATTCAAAATGAAAAAGGGGTTTTTTGTTTGGAGAGAAAAAGAACTGCAAGATCAGGTTACTTTAACTGGAAACTTGGATAATCGGGATGTCTTTTCTCCTATATAATCCTTGCATTTAGAATGTAAAAAGCTTTGAGCATGGATTTTTTCTTTAGCAATTATTAAAATTTGGTATCAATTGGAAGCAAGGTGATCATATTTTGGTACCATTGCTTTTTTACCTTATTATTATTTTTATTGATACCAAACATAAAATGATTGTTGGATTCTTAAATCGTTGCAGGAGTTAATTAGTAGCAACAGTTAAGTAGCAGCAACAACAAAGAAGAGTCCCCAAAAATATTTGAGTATTAGGTAATATTTTGGTGCAAATGTGTATGTTGAAAGAGAGATTTAGTGAAAACCATTGCCTATAAGTTTGTTCGGTGCAATTATGAACTTTATTATTACATTTTTTTGTTTAGTTTTAGTAAGAATGTCATTTAATACTGTTTCTTTGTTAACAATATCTCACAAACCATGGAGTTTGGTACCTATGCAACAAGGACACTAGGATTTGATGAAATAGGATCTCACTAACCAAGGTTTTGATGAGCTTAATTGCAATGGTGATTGAACGAGATAAAAGTGGGAAGTAGAGTTTGTAATGATATTATATTTTGACTTTGACAGTAAAGATTAGCCATTTAATTAGGATTTCAAAACTTTCAGAAGATATCCATGGCCAAAATTATTTTAAACTTCACTATGCTGTCCCCCGCAGGAAACCAAATAAGCGATAAACCGAGAATCAGACCGAATATCACTGACCGGTTCCAACCGAAACCGGAAAACCCGACCGAATAACACCATGGTTTTGGCCTTAAATTGCATTATGTTCGCACCTACAGAAACTAGATAAGCCATAAACCGAGAACCAGACTTAGAATCAAGAACCAAACCAAATACCATTGACTGGTGCAGCCGAAACCATAACACTAACCGGTCACAACTAGCTTTGGTTCCTGTTTGGACAAGGGCCCGGAGGTTTTCCTTCCAAGTCATCACTAATGGCTTTGGTGGGGTCCTCTCTTATTTAAAAAGAAATTAACCCTAAGTCTTAATATTAATGGTTTATAATTATAATTTACTATTTGAAATGGAATGGGAAATTAATATGTTTTTCTTATTAGATAAACAACATGTATTGTAACTTGTATAGTATAATCACATGTAGTGAAACGCTGGGTTAGTCACTGTAAAACACTACAACGTTTCTTTTGTTCTATTTTGTAGACAAAGCAAACACAACTAGGATTGTGAAAAAATGGGACCCAACAGGAAAACCTAAAACCAACATTTTTCGAGTCTACCGTTATTTGGGTTTGGGTAGAGTTTGGTATTTATTTTTAAAAAACATTTACCAGTTCGGATTCAATGATGGTATTCTATGTTCCCAACCCGATTACCCAAAACCGTATTCATGAAGGAAATTTACTGTCAATCACTTCTATTTTTGCAAGCACTAGATTTTTATATTATTTTGTTATGTTGGCATAATCCATATTCAAAACTATATTATGTTGAATCTATATAGGAATAATTCATATTCAAGACTTTATATTACTTGATTAGATTACATTGTTATGTTGGAAATAATCTTTTTTACTTTTTGCAAATAGATAATTGGTATACAAACTTCAATTTTCATTGTGTCATGTTATTGAAAATTAAAAACTATTAAATTTTCAATAAATATGTTTTTTGGGTGTAGTTTTTATAATTTTTAGATATAATTTGTCTTTAAAGACTCGTATAATAATGACACAACTTTACGAGGTGATCTAACTTCTCCACCAAAACCACAAATTGTTACTTTCTAAAATTCCAATAGCTTTATATTTATAGACGCGTGTCCACCAAATACAAACTTACCAATAACGTGGGTGTGTGGGTGGAAATTCCGTACAACTGTCTAAACCAAACACCTAGGCAAATTATATTTAAACAAACTATTCGACGTCGCCGCTTTGCGCGGGTAACGACTAGTGTGTGTATATATATATATATATATATATATATATATATATATATATATATATATATATATATATATATATATATATATATATATATATATATATATATATATATATATATATAAAAGAAGGGGCAACTATGTCTATGACTCTATAATCAAGCACAATTATTAAGGCCGTGTCATGCATAAGTTATCGTGAGGTACCAATATTAATCCAAGTTATCATCACGTACCAATATGTACTAATAGTTGTATTGATAGTGTAAAAAGTCAAAAACATTTGTCGTAAGCTATTGAAAATTGTGTCGTTCGCGTACAATGTGAAAATGTAAGTCAAAAACTTGTTATGATAAACGAAATAGAACCTGTATTAATAACATCAAACAAAACGTCTAACTCAACCAGTTTTTTTTAGTACATAACCACGATAGGCCAAATATGTTACATTTTGTTTAATCGTTGAAACTTGAAACACAAACAGTAAAGCCCCCCGGTTGTTACGACATTTGCCTTATTAGTAGTTCCACAGATTGCCTCCGCCATAATAATGTGTCCCATCGTCCGGCGGACTAGAATCCATCCTTGGGGGACTTACGAGCATTCCCTCCGCCATTTCCAGTAACAGATTCGGCATCCCAAACACTGCTTCATCGTCCATGTATACACCAGGAGGGGCTGCAACTCTACCACCCACGTCCGTCATGCTTCCGCCAAAACTTTCATACACCGGTGATTGAGCAGCAGCTGCTCTTGCTGCTGCAGCACGGATGTCGTCAGTCGTAGGACACTCGGGAAGCGTATTTGAGATAATAGATTTGGAAAGTTTAGGACTGCATAGGTACCTTTAAGTGCCAATGCAGCCACGTCGTAAGCAGCGGCTGCCATCTCCGGTGTTGGATAGGATCCAAGCCATATGCGACTGGACTTGTTTGGTTCACGAATTTCAGAAACCCATTTCCCAGCTCGCAATCGGATACCATGGTAAACTGGGTAGCCGCCAGCTGCCGGAGATTGAGAAGTCTCGTTTCGGGGTAGCTGATTGCGGCGCCGGTTAGCCATGCAATATTATGCGTGGCTATTTCCGTAGTTAATTATTATAGACGAATTGATCTGTTGGTGTTCCATCGTTATGACTTATGTGGGGCACCGTGGGTCCTTTTTAACTGGAAACATTACAGAGCGTGGCGAGTTCGCGGGTGCGTCCTATGGTAAAGACAAAATTTTCCGGAAAAAGAAAGTTACTTTAAAATTTCACAATAAGACCCTTTATTTATGTAAGTAGTACAGCAAGACCCTTTAATGAAAATATGCCGCTTAACCGATAAAATCAATCTTTTAAAAACCGGTTTTTTAGTTGAACCGGTAGACCAGTTTCCGGTTCAACCGGTTCGACCGGTTATACCGCCGGTCTATATATGATAGTGATGTGCGTCGGCATTCGAGTCGTATATACTTATGATAACCTGATTGATTAAGCTATTTAATTTTCTTTGGGAATTGACTGTTTTTTTAATTAGTTAAGTAAAATTTAATTATCCAACTTCAATAAATCAGTTCAAACGAGTTTTTACAGGTTCTATCACATCAGTTCAAAACATTTTTTTAAAGAAACTGTAAAGTTCAATCCGATTTAGAACTTAGCATAAAACCTGTCGTTATTGAACCACTCTCGTCTTGGTTCCCGATCCGACCGATTCAAATTGGCAGAGGGAGCATAGTACGTTGCTATTCTCTATAATTACTTGTTTTTTTTCATTTTCTTTATCTTGTAAATAACTGATGTACCGAATCTAAGATTTTATTACAGGTCATTATACAAAGCTTTAAGAGCTATAAAAAGTTATAATTTGTAACGTCCCAAAAATAATAACATAAAATTTTCGTTTTTAAATTAATAAACCGTTAATACATATCATTTCCACAAACCAAGTTAATCGAGATTTATCAAAACATCATTAAATCAGAGAAATTCACGAAATGCGGAAACATGTGGTGTGTGCCCTGCAATCATCCCGAGCTCTTCCATTTGAAAACCGAAGTACCTGAAACATAACTGAAAACCGTAAGCACAAAACTTAGTGAGTTCCCCCAACATACCACATACCAAACATACAATAACATATAATGGTCTCCGCCCGTCATCGGGTCCCGCCCGGCTTCGGACCCTGTCCAGCATCAGGCCTCGCCCGGCATCGAGCTGAGCTCGGTAAAACGGGCCCCACCCAACATACAATGACATATATCAAATAAACACATGCACATGCAATAATCATAACGATATATATCATAAAGATATCCATCAGGCCCCGCCCGGCATCGGGCCTTAGCCCGGAAGACATATAAACACAAGCACATGCAAGAGTCACAAAGACAACTAGCATACTAACAACATAATATAAACATGGGTCGGCCTTGGTGCCTTCAACCCGGTAAGAAAACTCACCTCGCACTGCTGAAGTTCCGCGGATAAATCTCTGGCTGCTCGCTGACAGATCCCCGAACTGTCAACATCAAAACAAAACCCAATTAACAATTTGGGCTTCGATGCATAACCATAAATCCACACTTGGGGTAAAAAGACCATTTTACCCCTAACCTAGCTTGGTCCGAGACCAAGGCTCAAACTCACACTCTGAAGGCCCAAAATCCAAATAATCAACCAAGGCCCAACTATGGCCCGGTTTTCCAAATTGGGCCTAAACCCCTTACATGGGCCTTACCCTAGAGCCCATCCAAATATCCTAGTCCATAAACTTGTTCTTAGATGGTCCATAAAAAATCCAAACATCTAAGCCCAAAAGAAAAGCCCAACTCAAAACCCAACACAATTAGGATTTTCACATAAAATGACGATTAGGGTTAATTAAGAACACTTAACCCATTAAGGACTTAATCCATTAAGTCCATCACTCTATTAGGTCAGCCATACAATGTGGTCGGGCATAATTTATAATTCCAATCCAACGGTCCAAAACGCTGGTCCCGGCAAGTCCCAAACAAAAGTCTCCAAGATTAGGGTTTTCTAAACCCTTATTAGGGTCTCCAACCCAACACATGTCAATTAGGACCAACGGTTAAGTTTTTAGGTCAATTAGGATTTCACTAGGTCGGGGACCACCCACTACCACCTCGGGCGCTGGAGGTCGACGGTGGTTCACGGCGTCAGTCACCACCTCACGGTGGTGGTGATGGGTTTTCTTCAACTTTCAACCAAGAAATGTCCAACCAACGACACACTACTACAACACATGCATTCCCACGATTTCAAACACACACACAACCACCTCCCACCGTGGCTGGTGGCGGCAGAAGAAGACAATATGGCGGCAACCATCATGGTTGGCTGCCATGGTGGTTGTTTGCGATTTCTGGCCATCTACACACACAACGACTGAACACGCACTCCCTCGCCGCCCTAAACTGAACACGCACCATACACACGGAAATAACACACACAGCACCGCCACCCACACGTTGGCAGATGGCAGTCGAGGAACACAGCAAGAGGAGCAGTCGCTCGTAGCGGCAGCGACGACACAACAATGGAAGAAAAGTGGAGAAGAAGAAGTGAATCGGAACAGCAACAATGACAGTTGTGGTGTCCGACGGTGGCTTCGTCTTCAACGGAAGCGGTGCAGCAGCGGCCGCAACTCCGATTGTCGTCTTCCGACCTCCCTAATAGACGCGACTTCAGCTCGATATTCACTTCGTCGGCCGAGGAAAATGCGGTGGTTCACGGTGCGGCTATGGAGGAGATGGCGACTGGAGAGACAAGGATGGTAAAGGTGGCGGTTGAAATGGTTTAGGGTTAGGGTTTCGATGAATGCAACGAGGGGAAGGAAATTGACGACCTTAAATCCTGCCTCCACTTAAAACTTCATTCTATTGACACACTCAGCCCCTCCTTCTTTAATCATTACAATCCAAATCCATATTTTACTCTTTAGCCCCTGCTTCCCAAAAATCTGTTCAATACAAGTCCCTTTGATACAATTTAGACTCCAAATTCCCGAAATTATAACATTTAACTCCCATGGCTAATCGCAGATAAGTAGCCAAAAGAACCAAAGAAAAATCTTTGGTTTCGGGGATTAATGCCTTTTATATAGTTTTCTGAAAACAAGGTCAACTCGTCGAGTCCATAGATCGACTCGACGAGTCCGTCACTTAAAACCCATGTACGGTAAGTCTTGATATGTTCCGAATATTCCTATCTACTCGATGAGTTAAGGATCAACTCGCCGAGTCCTTAACCTTTTTAGCTTTATTTCTTCTTTCTTCAAATCCTGAGCTTCCAATTATTAATCTCGCCTCCTTTTTAACTCGAGCATGTCTTTTAGGCTAAAAATACAATTTAAACATAATTAAGTACCTTTTGTCTAATAATCAAGACAAAATAGCCAAAAAAAAGTATTAAGATATTAAACAAAATATATAAATAAATATGCACATATCAGTTACCATACTAAATCCATATTGGATTACATTCCTACATATATATTCCTACCGATCCTCACATATCCTAGTCCAAGATTATCAGGGAGAAATTATCTCGCCTGATGAACCATTAAAAGAATGACTACATAGCTAGGGGCTTCCTTTTTCGGTGTAATTCATGAAGGCTTATGGGCCATCAGATTATTTGATAAGTATGGTTTTCCAATTCATCTACGTCTGTAAGTAATGAGCTCACACTAGCAACATAAATCACAAGATCGTCTAAAATGATCAAGTGTTGTCACCTACTCTGTGGGGTGACCATACATACTGCTAACAGTTTCCTGATTGGGACCCAACATTTCTGGCCATCCCGTATGAAGCTACCATACAATGACACTTGATAGTGTCATGGAACAGAACTTTACTCTTCGTTCCTAGGTAACACACATTCTTCTAATGAGACTACATAATATCAAACTTAATTGAGCTAGGTATATTCCATGAGTCCAAGTTTATCTCTATACTAGATTACAATGCATGTAACCAACTTTTAATACCAACTCTATTCTTGGGTGACACTAACCTATTTCTAGTGTATTTATATTCCATACATAGCATTAGGTATTATTACTCTTTTATCTTCTTAGCAATGCTACCTTTAATACTATTATATGATGTTTATTTGTTTAATCCTATCATAAAATAGAACCATATCCGGTTCGCACATAGCACAATATATACATATATCAACATATAATCCATACAATAAACATATATTTCACGTACGACTTCCAACAGATATTTAATACTATAATTATAATGGTATTAAATCATGTTCATGAAAGGGACTATGCACTCACTTAACTTAGGTGAATGATTGGCGATTTCGGATAAATTTCGCCTAACACTTTTAGCTTTTCCTCTGACGTAACCTAAGTACAAACATTACTAAATCTTAGGTTTATATTCCTGGCGACTAATGATAGCCAAGATTCCTCACTAATCCCATTGTCTACATCAAGATCTATCAAGTAAGGATCAACTAGGTATGACCGTTGGGAGGCATGATCATTTCGGTGTATAGCCTTTCTGAAATCCAATAACCAAGCCAACGTGACCATTCTAGACACCTCTTCCGTAAGTAGATCAATCAGTATAACGATATGGAATTACTGATAAATCTTATTTATAGGTTCATAATAATGCCTATGACTTATAAATATAAATTACACTGAAATAAGGATGAATGTAACTTAACTTACAAAGATTTCCTAAACAAAAGTCCAGAAATTACACTGACAGAGCTTCCAATTGCTAGCTACTACTACTTCAGGGGTCGTAGAGCTTTGTCGAAGACTAAAACTAAGGAAAATGAGGCTAGAACTGAATGAAATCGAGAGAGAATGATAGAAGATGAGTGGAGGAATGAATGAGGCTTGGCCTCCTATTTATAGGCGATTTTGGGGTGCGCGAAGTGCAAAAGGGGTGCACGTTGCGTATTTCAAGGTGATGTCTCCCCAACCATTTTGTGTCACGTGTCAGGCTCTCCGTGGTCCGCATTTTCATCTTCTAGAAATGCGTCGCACACCTAGCGTGCACTGCGCGCGACACAAAACGTA